CAAATACAGGACATTTTAAGGCACAATATATACTTTTACTTCTGCGTTTTGTGACTATCTGTGTTAAACCTTGGTTAAGCTGGAGGTAGAAGTGCCTTCATAAATCATTCATCAGCACTTTCTTCAATGAATTGCATACCTTGAATATCAGTAATAAAGATGAAACAAACCCTCATTAATCACTTAAGTAGGAAGATTTTGGAAAGATCTAAGCAACAGCAGAACAGAGCCGAATGTGCTTGGTCTGGCGTGTCTGGCAGGCATGGTGTATTGAATCTCTGATGTAACTTCATGTCCCTGGAGGGACCTTATTGTGGCTTCATATCACCACTCAGATTTCCTTGACAGACAACTCGGGGTCAGTTTGTTCTTACTGTAGTTCATCCTGAAAGTATTTGTAATATAATAGTACTAACACTAACACTGGCACAAATGGTGCATCTCAGAAATATTGTTCATGATGTTAATCAGTATCTGTTCTGTTAATTTCCCATTCAATCATTTTTTTTGTTCCTCTTTAATCATTTGGATACTTGTTGTCCAGAACTGACAAGAGCTGACATCACACTTCTCAGGGTCTTGTTTACATGATTACTGGTCGAGGGAAGAATCTGGAGGTTCTTGGTTAATCTAGTAGAAGAATTATATGCTTAATGTAATCTTAATGTACCCAGCTTTCAGAGATGCCTCACTAAAAGATCAAAGACATCAACAGTACTTTATCCTGTGATAAAGTAAACTTTATGGTGGACAGTCATCTTTACCCTGTCAGTTTACCCCCTTTGATAAAAATTTACCTTGGCAACATTGTTCTTTCATTACTATCAGACAAGATGGTTAATCCACAGCAAATTATCCAAAAGAATATCTTTAAACATGTGGAAGAATTGAATGTTAATCATTGCTTGAGAAGAATGATGACAAAATTATACCAATTATTCTGTGTGTTTTCCCCAAACGTAACAAGCCACGATGTTCATGCCACCACAGACTCAAACATGTCCAAGCCTGGTAATATTCTAGCTGTCTCTGGACACGGGCATTGGGAGTCCTTGAACAATTTCATAACCACATTTACACCTCATGCTCAGTGCAGTTTTTTAGCAACTACCTGCAGTCAAATAGATTGACAGTTATTGCTCTAACTTCCTTGTTTGTCCCACAGCGACATCTTATCAGACCACAGGCCATCGATTCATGTTAGTTAGTCTCGTGTACTGCAGCCAGTAGGGTTAGCAGACTATTTCATGACTCCATTTGTTGTGTCTGCTAATAATAATGGGGGAAAGAATGTTGCAATTTTATGACTTCAAGCCCCCCCCCCCCCTTCTCATGAACTGGTGCTGAACAAACACACATTGCTGTCTTGAGCTCAGCACTACAATGCACTTTTCGCATGTTTCAATAACTATGATTTAACCGGAGCATATTAGTTTAAAACTTAAATTTACATACATGTTGCTTCATTGGATTAATGTCTAAAACATACTTTTTTTCCTAAAGTAAAGGCAATTAAAGGGGATAGCCAGTCAGTAAGCCCTGTTGACGAGTTTCAATTTGAAACACTGCTTAATTGCAGATATGTTTTAATCCCATCTCCAAAAAATCATGGTCTGTTCAATTTTGGCACCTTACTAATGTTATGATTTGGGAAAAGCTATGGTTCATTAAGTTTGTACAGCTAATACAGGAAGTTTGCTATTTTGTAAAATACTTTCATGAGACCTTTCTTGATCAGTGACGGTTCTTGTTGGCCACCCCAATAGCAGAGGCGGAAACTTCAGTATTATTTATGTAATATTAAACCTCTTCGCCTAGTGGACAGATACATTAAGCTACTAAGACAGACATATTTGAGAATGCGGTATGTTTAAGCACACAGTTTTGACCTCGGAGTTTATCAGATTTTCTTAACCATGTCTTCCTGTTGCCAGCCAGTTTGTAGTATTAGTAGCTGAGTCCCTGGGAAATCATCCATTAATGCAGGAACATATTAGTGGTCAATGTGAGTAGCACTTGCGAAGGCTTGCAAAGCTGGTAGGGCATTCGTTGTTTGAACTGTTTGTCAGAGCAGCCAAGGAACTGAGATAGGCAGCAAGCGTGATACAAACTATAAATCAATAGGTTGTATCATGCCTGGGATCTCAGGCTTTCTCTAGCAAGTCGAATCATACAGTAAAAGAATCGGGAATGGTGTCCAACTATATATTGAGTAGAGACAGAGTCCATGTATGTCCAGGAGTAACAGTCTAAGCTTCATGGCATGTTTTTTGGTTTCCACAACTTGTCATATTTTCTTTTTTATGTTGTTATAAATTTGGGTAGGTTTGTCAGTGCAAGTAACTTGCATTTAGATCTCTCATTGAACATGTTCAAAGGTTATATTTATTTTTTCGAAAGTAGTAATAATCTCATAAATTTTATATTCCTGCACATTTGTTTTATGGAATTTGGAATCAAAAGAGTTAAATTTGGTCAACTCGATATAGTTGTGTCTGAGAGCTTTAGCCTCTTTGTCTTAGCAGGGCAACTAAACTGGCTGTCAGGATATCCTTTAGGGAAATAGGTAGCTGCAGAATAGCAGCTAATGAAATGGAAGGTATCTACTGCAGCAGTAGTAATCATCTAATTGGAGATTAACCAGATCTGTCTGTCTGCTATGCAGGCAAGAAGTTGTTGACTACTGGACAGATACAAGATGAGACAACAGTGGCCACTTTTTGTGGAACATATTCCCAGATCAAACTGCTAAAATTTTGTCATTATTCCAACAGACTATTTTAATTTAGAACCTCATGTCTTCTAGAAAACTTGATTAACTCTGATGCAGGAAAGTTAATAGTTGGTTTACTTCCAAACATCCAGGGCCAACCTAGGTATTTGACACACAGAAATAAATGAACTAGTCTAATCCAGCAACTTTAAGACACATGGACTGCTGACAAAAAGTGAGATTCACAGGTGGTAAAAAATGCTGGCTATGTAGTGACAAGCAGTATGTTAAGGGAACAAGATCTTGTATTGATAGGTATTGGGATAGTGTTGGGCAGTATTGGTATCACAAGAAGGGATTTCAGAAATTGGACTGGTCTGCAAAGCCCCCAACTTCGATAAGTCCCCAGTCCCCAAAAGAATCTGTGGGATTTTCTCTGACAGTGTCTACAGCGTAGTCCCAGCAACCATTAAGGGGGCCCAGCTTGGGGTAGCTCTTCAGGTGGAATGACAGGCAATACCAAAGACAACCTGTACACAAGTTAATCACAGTCACGATCAAAGTTTCCTGCATGTATCACCAAACATAGTGGACACACCAGGTATTTGATAGACATTGATTGAAATTAATTTACCGACATTTATCATCATGCCTTAACTATCACTTTACCACAACCAGTTCCCTTATGTTTTGTTTGTTTGGTATGTTCTAAAGTAGGGCATCTTTGAGTGTAAATATTAGTATGTTTCACTGATGGGTTGATGTTTACAGATGCATGCAGAATAAGTTGGAACTGGAAGTATTTTGATTGTTGAAAGACGTAATATGTGTATAGCTGAACAGCAGTAGTCAGTCACTGCTGTTACACTGCTGCAAGCCTTATTCTGACAAGTTGTCTTTCCATGGGTTGTTGATCACTGAGGTTCACTTGCCGGCCAACAACAGACAGACTGTTTGCCCTTCTTAGGACAAATGCTAATATTTCCTCCCACATTTTCATGTTTATACATGGCTCTCATATCACTTCCAGTCTTATGCAATGAAAAATAGCTTAGCAAATTTAACTTGGCCAGCCAGCCAGCCAGCCAGCTTAGACTTGGTTGTGCAATCTGCTTCATCTGCACAATATCTGCCGAATCGACTGTACAACTGCTGCTAACTGGATGAACAATGAGGCAGAACTGGGTTAGAGTAGCAGCTATGGTGTATTTCCTTGTGTGTTGACCTGGAATACATGATGGAGGGGAATCTATTGTTTACACCACGCTTGTTTACAAGCGTCTATACCCATTTTTCTGTCTCATTCTGTTTTGTATAGAGAAGCCTGCCATTTCAACACGCTTTTATTTTACCTGGTTACCATAACCTTGTGTATGGATCCGGGTACATGACATTGTGTAAGATATTCCTTCGCAATCATGACACCACCACTTGACACGGTGAAGAGCATGAAGAGGATGCCGTTGAAAGTACATTTGTGTTTTGCCATTTCATAGAGCTGTCTTGATGGGAATAGTCTTAAACTGAGTGAACTTGTCTATTTTCAGGCCATAGACACCCAGTCAATAGATGGTCTCTGTATTGATTTTAGTGTCACCAGTTAGACTTATTAGTGGTGCAGTGCTTGATAGCATTATTACTTCAGCTACACTACTTTCAGTTTAGGAGATTGCTAATACTCTGGTCAAATAATGTATGAAAGTGTGTACCTTCTGAACACTAATATGTCTGTCTGCTACTTTATCCATGTCTGAAGACCTGGTCTAGCTAAAGGCTGTTTCATCTAGGAAAATCATTTCATTACAACCTACATAATATTAAATCGAGTGGAATGATGCAAAGATTCAGTTTCAAGTAGTCGACTCTGAAGGTTTGACAGATATGGACATTTCACTTTATCTCCTTCTCACATTAACAAATCCTCAAACATGATGGGAACAATTATGACCTGATAGTAACACATGAAGGTATGAAAAGCTGCATCAATTATGTCTTTGCTTAAAAAAACACTGGCTATGGTCTGCTGAGTAAACTTGTAAAATTATGTCATCCTGAAAGCTCAGGGAAGTTAAAGCATTTTCAGGTGTTGTGAGTTACCCAATCATTCACATGAAATTAGATTTCCTTATTGTGCTGAGTTATCCTTTAGAAATGAATTCAGCGAATGTGAATACAAAGAGGGTATGTAAGTCTATTCTGATCCTAGGGATACAGATTCTGTAGAACTGATATGAAAATATACTGATTTGCTTTGTGTTGATTTCACAGCTCTGTGATTATGTTTCAGATGGCGTCCCCCAGGTGTATTACTTTGGTCCGTGTGGCAAATACAATGCCCTGGTCTTGGAGCTGCTGGGACCCAGTCTAGAAGATCTGTTCGACTTGTGTGATCGCAAGTTTTCACTGAAAACTGTGCTGATGATAGCAATCCAATTGGTATGTTGTAAATTTAATAACACACGTGGCTTACGTGAACATAATTCTGTTTGTATTAGTTTCAGAAAATTATCCTTTGATTGTATTCATAGCAGTGACGTTCACTGTGACAGTTCACATTGTGGTACATGATGCAAATAACACATCATGGAATAATGTACCATTACAAAACAAACCATGTGTTGTCTATACAAGCAGGATAAAGGTTTTCGGGATGGTTCATTTAATAGGACATTGACTGATAGTATTTCAAAATTATTTTTAATAATAGGTAATGAGAGAAGAACGTCCTGTCAAAACTTAGATCATGAAAATATCCTAATGACAAGTGTTGCCGGCAAAATTACTGTCTCCCTGTTTTCACTCATTGATAGTTTATACATACACATGGCATATGGTGTGAGTATGGTTTTATGCCACTTTAAGCAGTATTCCAGAAATAGGCTTCACACATTGTACCCATTTGGGGAATCGAACCAAGGTCCTCAGCATGATGAATGAATGCACACTTTCACCATTAGGCAGCCCCATACCGCCCTGTATTTTGTATGAAGTGTGTATTGTGTGAAGTGGAAAATGCTTCTGTAAGCAGGTATGTGACTGAACTCTAGCATGCTGATAGTGTGTCAGGATGGGGTAGATCATTCTTGTCTGCCTAGTTGAGACTTGATTATTTATAGACCATTTGTTCTACCTGGACTTAGAGTAGATAACATTCACCACTCCTCGGCAGGTTTTTGTTCGATAGCATTTACTCAATCACTATGTGGTTGCATCTACACTGTATCCTTTGATGATACATGAGAAGTTTTGAATTTTTCACTTGTTGTATCACATCCTTTCAGTGTCGTTTATGCATTGAATATGGGATCCCTGTATTTCACTTTCTCTACATCTTTCATCCATTCTAAATTCAGAAAATGGCTCATAATCCTGATAATGGCCCATTGTCAAAGTTCTCTATTCCAATCCCTGGGAGAGTATGGGAATGGGTGCTGACATATTTTTGTGTGTTTCCTTTGCAACATACCAGACTTTGACTGAAATGTGCATCGCATTTGTTTCTGGAGTGTAACCCAGAAACAGGTTAATATTTTATTATGTTAAAGGCAGGCATTGCCAAGTGATGAAAGCATGTGTCTGGTAGACTATCAAGGTAAACTGACCTGAGTTATCTGGAGTATTTGGTTATTTTTGTGTGACTGGTTCAATATGATCACACAAAAGTTGTGAACAAATGGTTTGTTACTGTGAACACTTGATGCGCAACCTTCATATATTCTGCCATTTTTTTTACAGTATTTCCAAATTATTTTTTGTGATATTTCCATTGAATGTCAATTATACTTTTTTTGAAAGAGCATTACAAAATGAGTACCGGGTACCTTGAAACTATTATGGACAACCAGTTTTTCAAAATTGATGTTTGATTTGATCCGAAAGATACAATAATGGATGATAATTTCCTGAACACTTGAACTGTTTGTTATTTGGTCATAGCATGTGTTTCTCCCTTTATATACTGGGGCGGTGGTGTAGCCTCATGGTTAAAGCATTTCCTTGTCACGCCGAGGTTCCGGGTTCGATTACCAATGCGTGAAGCCCATTTCTGGTGTACCCCCGCCGTGATATTGCTGGAATATTGCTAAAAGCGGTGTAAAACCCAACTCACTCACTCACTCCTTATATATACTATGCATGGTTTGTTTGTATTGATCCAGTCATTCCTAGTGTTTGGAATCGGAAACCAAATCCACTATCAATTATCGGAGGACTTGTGGTGAACCAATTCTAAGGGGTTTGCCCCAGTTTTTATCTAATTAATGTTTATGTAATTATTCTGTTTATTTATTTATACAACAAATATTTATCAGTATATCTCAGTACATTCACAATAGATGTAAAATTTATTCATAGACAGGTTAAAGTAATATTTACCATAGTCATGAATACGAAACTGAATAAAATGCTGTTGAGCGCATGTTTGTTAGTGAATATTTGTCAAATTTAACAGGTTAGTTTACTTCATTCAAGTGTGGTATACTAAAACATCAAAATTCTGATTAATGGAAAAGATGTTTTTTTACAATCGATAATTAATTTTATTTATTTTCGATCATCTAGTCATTCAGTTGGTAAATAGTTTTAAGCAGGGATCAAATATGTGTTTCTGGATCGACCTAGTGGCTTTTGATGCCTCTTGTAGATATGTCACCTATTGACTTATTCTTTTTGTGTTTCTTTTTAGATATCACGGATGGAGTATGTTCACTCGAAACACCTCATATATAGAGATGTTAAACCAGAAAACTTTCTGATAGGAAGACAATCGACCAAAAAAACAGCATATCATTCACATCATAGACTTTGGTTTGGCCAAAGAATACATTGACCCCGAGACCCACAAGCATATACCTTACAGGGAACACAAGAGTCTCACTGGCACGGCCAGATATATGAGTATAAACACACATCTAGGAAAAGGCAAGTAAAGGAAGCAGAACAGCTTGTGTTTTGAAGAATTAATTAGCTGCACATCGTATTGCGTGTTTGATAAAACGTTCTGTTTGATCTGTATTTTGCGGAAAAGATTTTGTGCTTTCATTAATTTTGAAGTGATACGTCAAATGATTACTGTAATAAATAAGATAAATAAATTGGATGTGTAAATAGCATATTGTATATTGTTGGAGCATTGATTACTAAAGATTATTTTTATTATTTCCCATCATGCATTAAAGAATGAATTCATCATTTTTATGACAGGAATGTTTCTATGCCAACAGAACAAAGTCGGAGAGATGATTTAGAAGCTTTAGGTCACATGTTTATGTACTTCCTGCGTGGCAGTCTACCATGGCAGGGACTGAAAGCAGACACATTAAAAGAAAGATATCAGAAGATCGGAGACACAAAGCGGGCCACGTCCATAGAGGTTTTGTGTGAAAACTTTCCAGGTGAATTAAGAAGTCAAGTGTAAACGATATGGCATGCCTTTTTTCAGGAAATACATTCATCTATGCAGTTACAACTAGTTCTGAAAAACGTCCTTGTAATATCTACGTGATAGAAGTCTGGGTAGTTACTAAATAGCTCATAAGGCTTGAAATATCTATGTGATAAGACTAGATGTAATAGACTATGTATGAATTCACTATGAATTTTAGAAAGTGTTCAAATGTAAATAAGGTCATATTTGTCATTTCACTTCCTCAGTAAAGTACAGATTCTGGTACTGTTTTGGGTTGAATACCATCAGGTAGAATGTCTTAAAATGGCAGCCCAGAGCCAGTAATTTCAATATAAGGAAAGTATGTCAGAGATGTTTAAGTCTGAGTAAAAAGATTACCATGACATGATGAGGTAGGTAATTGAGAAATCTGATTATGAAGATTGTGACAAAAAAATTCACTTATGTTTTTCTGTGCAGATGAACTGGCAACCTATCTGCGGTATGTTCGGCGGTTGGACTTCTTTGAGACACCAGACTACGACTACCTGCGTAAACTGTTGACAGGCCTCATGGAGAAAATGAGCTATGACTGTGATTGGCAGTTCGACTGGGTCGGCCGCCAAGTGGTGAGATCTCAAGTAAAATTGCCGCACGTTTTCATCTCTTTGTAGTATGGCAAATAATGCTCATTGTACATCCAAGGGCTCAATGTGACAGTAGCTGGTATTGACAGCATTTGGAAAAGCTTTACATATTTGGATCAAGTCAAATCTGAATCGATTCCTTTGAGATTGAAGAAATTCTGAATAATACTGAAACAATACTGATGCTGATTTAGACAGCTTACTCTAGTAAACTACCGTTTTCTGCAAACCAAATGCTGATACTGCCTGCGCATATATTGATTTTGTAATTTTGATCTTTTTGTGTTGTTTTATGGGACAATGTTGGAAATGATTGGGTCTTAAGTGGGCAGAAAATAGGTCACATACCTCATACATGTGCAGTGTGAATATATTTGTTTTAGTTTTGCCATTGAGGCATTCATAATCAGCTCATATTCATGCATCTCTGGAGATATTATTTAGAAAGATCTGTATTTCATGTCCATAATTATTTTAATTTTTCTTTTAAAAAGATCACCTCTTCCAATAACAGGTTGTTGTTTTTAAAAAAATGCTGCTTATTGATAATTCCTTTTTATCTTCAAGATGATAGTATTGCTTGCCTCACACCTCTACCATTTCATGATTTAATTCTGTATTGCATGCATTATGCTTGTCAAATATCGAAATTTCCATGGGATCTGATAATTTGCCTTTTCTTTCAATCAACTATCGAGAAGGCATGCAAGCGCCTCCACACCATATCTTTAGTTTCCATTATTTCCTGGATGATGCATGAATATTTGTGCTGATTATTTTTAGTCATGATATTATCTCATCAAATGAAATTTTTCTGGTGATTCTTAAAAGCTGAAAGATAAATCTTAAGTGCAGTTGTGTTTTGAAAAGTAAAAAAACACACGGAGTCTTTTACATTAAAGATAATGAATTTCTGAATTGCTGCTTTTTAACATTAAACACTGTAAGATACTAAAGTACATATTTTCATATTTCCTACGCTTTGCAAAAAAAAGAGTACTTGCAGTATGTGATATATATGTTGTTAGTACCTACTTGTGTGGAGCACTAAGAAGTGTGGTGTTGTATTACAGTCGACACCCGTGTCGTTGAGTGCCCCTGATACTGGCCCATCACCTCAAAGAGATATTGGTGGTATGAGGGAGAGGCACACAGGCCCCACCAGGGTGAGTAGATTGCAGGTTGCCACATGCCACAGATTAACGTCAGTGGGAACATCAGCTACATATCTACTTACAACTGTTTGGTTTTGTCATGTGGAAGACAAGCACGGATATAGATATATGCAATGCTTACAAGTTAACTTTAACGTAGGTTGGTGTCTATATGCTTGCATGATGTAGTATTTTGGTGATGTTAAGCCCTTGTTTAAGGTATTTGCAGTATGAACTATCAGTGTATTTTATTTTCTGTGAAGGATCTACATGATCATTTTTTAATCCATGTTGAACTGCTGTTGTTAGAGTTAGAAATGTGTAAGTGAAGACATGTTTTTGCTGAGAGAGGTTGACAAGTGCAGTCCATATTTTCGTCAAGTTGCCCATGTGGAGTCAGGGCAGCTCGTTTTCATTTGGGGCAACATAGGATGGTATCCCCGAGACTCCTCTTCCATTGCCTCAACAGTCATTCTGTTGTCTGGCCTGGACATGACTGGTGAATGGCCTGAAGTGATCAACATTCGCATTGCGTGACAGGCCAACAAACCACAGTGCTAGAATCATCATCAAGCTTGTAGTTAGATAGTTGTAAGATCTTAATACCAATGCACCTTCCCAGCAATGCAGCCAGTCCATGCACCTCCTTTGTTGAATGGCAGTTTGTTTAATAGGTGACACAACTGTGTTGTTTGATGAAAGTCATAAAAAAAAAATGTTCTTCGGAACTTTAACTGTGTGCTTGTTGGGATTAAGCTCACGTCATCTTAGATTATCTTAGATTGAATGTCTCCCTTGACAAGAAGTTCATGCCTGATAGGTAGTCAAACTGTTAGTTTAATGTGTTTTGTCAAGGGGAGATAATCAATGCTGCCAGTCACTTGTGAGTCCTTAACATTACATCATGATAGATCCCAGATCAAGAACTGTGGAATAACACTGCTCGCCAACAATGCTATTTTAAACATATTCATTTATATTTTGAGGTTCCTATTTATTTGTTTGAGTTTACTCTCAACGTGACTGAATGCATGACTTGTATATTGATTATGAGTTTGCTTCTTTTCCTCTCTGCTGTTTAGTTGTTTCTAATCCCCCTGATTCGGTTCTTATCTTCCTTTTGCATTTTCTCCTGCTGCATGTTCAGACATCAGTTTATGTCTTGTCATTCATTTGTGTTCTCCTTTATCAGTTTATTGTTTTATACCCCCTGATGTCATCATTTACAACTTTTGTATGGTGAATAAAACCACTGACAGCTTTTCTATAAGTAAATATCCTTGTTTTCTTCGGTTTTATTATGCATGAGAGCATGCTTTAAAATGGTTCAGTTTGAAGTCTGTCTTAATTCATTTATGAGATTTGCAGTTGTTTTGACCACTCTGCGTTATGAAGGTTTTCATTTCTAATCGGATATATACAGTCACCTCTGCAGCACCTGAATATTGCACACCATATGAATATATATTTATATGCATATCAGTGACACTGAAGACAGACCCTGACTGTAGAGACTGAAGCTTGAGTCTGTCTTCAGGTGCTATTTCTTCCTGCCCATCCAACCCTCCATCCGTACCCATCTGTACAAGACGCATCCTCCTCTAACCAGACTAATTTGCCTTTCAGCCAAGTTCAAATCAAAGGGGGCATGCATGGGGTGAGCAACCCAGGCACGCCAATAATTTACTGGGTGCCAACCTAGCCGCTGATAAACATGGGGGCTCGGTCCAGGTAGGAACTCTTTCTGAAGCTCATTTGATCATTTGCTTTTAGCAAATGGAAAGAAGTAGACAAAAAATCCCACCTTTTTGAAATTCCTAGAATGAAATGTTGAAAAGTAGCAAGATTAACCCCAATTGTAGATGTTTTGAGTGTGTGTGCAACAAACTGCTTTCCCCATGAGGTGGATGCCTGCCCCTGATTCTCTGCCTCAGCCGCATTTCACTGTTGTGCCAATAACTGTTGTCGTCATGTGACAGTCGTGACTAATTGTCCGCACAGTACCTGTGACAGTGATCAACTGTGTCGTGTAACCTTGTCATTATACTAGGGTAAGATCCTAACGACCCCCTGCCTCTCCTCTGCTTTGTCTTACACTCTTACTATTTGTACGTGTTCTTTAACCATTAACAAGATACGACGTATGTAGTTTACTTTAGTATATATTTTTAATTAATTACCTGTCGTGACTACAAAAATTTGGGTCTGTAGAAAATCACAATGGTTGTTAATACTGGGTTCGGTTATATAATCATCAGATGGCACTTGAAGAGCAATATAAGGAGAATACATAATATTTTTCCTTATCCTGACTCATGCTCTTTTTGCTTGTCTTCTTCTTCTTGCGAACATAGTGGAACACTTGTATCTCCCTAATTGAAGCTCCCTTCAATGTAAAATCACTAATTAGTACATCACGAGTTACCTCCCTTCCACAAGCGCGGGAACGAGGGCGCCACCTCTACCCATGTGCCTCACTCTCTCCTTCTTCGCCCAGTGAGCTGGACGTGAGAGCGCCTGTGTCTCCCGACACACTATATCCTTGGATTATATTTAGTTAGTTACCTCGTATAGACATCTATAGAGGTTTAGCTAGTATCCTTCAACAATTATATATTGATATTTAGTCGTGTTTCTACTGTTTATTCACGGGACGCCATGTTTGTTCTGTGGATTACGTTGATGAAAATTCTGTACTGTTGCAGATTACGTTTTTTATTCTGCTGCTGATCCGCATTTAATATGCCCTAGCTGTACTGCGCCATGTTCATTTTATTCACGTGGCAGTTCGCGGTACTAATTTATCAATTCTGCCTTTAATAAATAAATGCTTTATGTTTGAGGCGGCGCAGCAGATAGGTCGCGTATGCAGAGTCTAGCCATGACTGATACACCTGAACCCTCGCCAGTCTACTGCTGTTGGTCGACCCCCCTCCCGTCTGGTATTCCGCTAGAGTGGTGGAGAGGCGTGGGACGTAGTCCGCCGCCTCCAAGAAGCGTCCTGCTTCCCCAGACATCCCATCGTCGCAGCCGAAGACTAGAGGGCTTCTACTGCATCTCAACGCAGACTTCACACCCCCAGGGCAGCGTCGACCTCTGAAATCAATCAGCGAAGTCTACTAGAACTTTCTCAGCCGAGATTGTTCCGTCGCAGATTTGGGCCTGTATGATGATCAGCCGATCATCATACCTGATGTACATCAAAGAATGACCGATGTCGGCAGCAGTGATGTCAGCGCAGATCAACATGCAGCCTGATGTACCAGCGCTGATATTCGATGATCTTCCTGAGGGTCCGTTGCTACCAACACTCAGCGCAGACCCGCACCCCAGGGCAGCGTCGACCTCTGAGGGAAATCAGCGAAGTCTACTAGGACTTTCTCAAGCGAGATTGTTCCAGCCGCTGAACTGGGCCTCTCGATGATCAACCGATCATCATCGGCGTCACGCCACAAGAAGCGACCAGTGACATCAGCAGAGATCGCCATGCAGCCTGATGTCTCTACACTGATGTCAGGCGACTTCCCTGAGGGCTCAGCAGCTGTCATCGCAGAGGGCACCGACGACCGCCGTCGCAGACCATCCCAGGCGAGCTGTTGCGGCAGATCATGACCATGATGGAGGCCACTACAGGCGGGAGAAGCAGCCAGCCAGGGCCTGAGCAGCGCAGACAACACCCCAGAGGCACCCCAGTCAGCGTAGCAGCCCACGGTGAAGCAGCCCGAGAAGGAAGTCACAGACCACCTCGACGAAGGACCCAGATGTACAGTCTTAGCGAAGGCTTTAGCGAAGGCGGGAGAGATCGTCACCGTCCTCGGCCTCATCCTCAGATGCGGACTCAAGGTCATCCCATAGGACCAGATCACCTAGGCGATCTCCGCGCCGTTCACCACGGCGATCTCCGCGTTACATCACCGCGTCGATCACCTGCGCAGGTCACCACACAAGTCGGCAGCGTCACCCGACATAGAGATAGCAGCACACAGGTCACCATCAGAAGAGCATCAACCTCTCATCACCGATGCTGGTACAGAAGATGATGGAGACATCATCTTCTCAGGCGCTGAGATAAGATATTGGATGGTAAACAACCTAGATTTATCTTCACCGTCCAAGAGTGGCAACTCAGCGCAGACATACCTGATGAAGGAAGGCGATGTAGGCGTCGTCACCCTACCTCCGATCGACCCGATTGCTGCGGTGCCACAGAATGTGGACACAGCCTACCATAAAGGCATGTAAGTTCAAGCGCCAGAAGGCATTATGTTCTTTGGCCTTAATAGATCTAGAGCGATCAATGAGATTCTTATCACCAGATTTAGGTGACACGACTTCTGAAGATGATAGGATGATCTACTCGGCTCTACTTATGCAGAACCAGCAAGAACCACACCCTGTATGAAGCTAGCGGCTCATATATTGATCGGACTCTAGACGCCGATAAGGAAGTCCCAGGCGCCTCAGCGAAGGAACTAGAGCCTCACCAGTTACAAGGGGCGTCCGCGGAGGGCGGCCGCCGACCCACATCCTGTTGAACACAGAGGTCGTTCCGCGAAGCAAGCATGAGTCAGGATAAGTATAAAATATCAATTTTACTCTAAAAATTACATATATATATACTGATCGGGCTCTGACTCGATACCTTCAGCGAAGGTCGCGAAGGCTAAAGTGGCTCAAGTCTGCTTCACCCAGAAGATCTAGAAGGGATGCCGAGGCCGTGAAGTCTCGGCGTTCACCGAGGAAGTATCCTCCAAGGTCTCCATATACTAGCCACTTTCGTCATATATAGCTACTTTCGTCAGTCCGTTCAAGACATCGCATAAAGTGTCTATCAACTGTATGCCATATGCGATCTATAAGCCCTCTGCGAAGACAATTGCACAGGCTATTTACAACACAGAGCGTCGCTATATAAATTAGTCAGCGGCGTTTCATAGATATTCACAGAAATCAACTTTCCGTATAGATTGCTAGAATATGCTATCCCACACTACGATCACGATTATCTACATGCGTGACCATTACGCAGATCTGCAGACAATTCAATATCGAAATTGAACAGCAACCTGTTACAGCGAGTATAACTCATAATCGTCAGCGTTTCTGAGAAGTAATATGTACAACAAGTTCAGCTTTAATTCTACAATTATGGCGATACATTCATGTATACAGTCTACAAGCTGACAACTTGCAAGTTTATTGTACCTTTATATAAGGAAGTCGGAATTATATCCAAAACTGAAGTTACTTTCGACAGGCAGGAAAATAACCTACCCAGCATTAATATTACAGGCGAGGTATTTTGGCGGAGGTTCAGTAGCGTTTACCATTAACCCTCGAAATGCGTGGTCACTTTCGGGTAACTTTGGAAAGCTACGGTGAAGACCGGCGATTATGCTAATATAAGCGGCGGCAAGATTTTATACAAGGTTTTTCCTGCTACACGGTGACATCACAGCGGGTATTCTACAGAATCAAAATGCCTTGTTCTGATTGGACGCGATGGACAGCGACCTCGCGGGAGGTCGGTCTTAGTTCACAGTTCAAGACTCACGTTACAAGTGACAACTATATATCAGTGAGCGAGCAAGCCTCCTTACAGTCCAGTTAATCTGAACCTTCATGATTGGGCTGCTTTCTTCAGGTTAGAGACCTCCCCTGTCAAGTTAGGGCGAGGCACGGCAGTCAGGCGATTTTACATAAAGTTCAGCGAGGACAGACACACCTGGTTGTGCACCTACATCGTCAAAGGACTTATGGCGAATTTACCTAGGCGGCGGAATACAAGTGGATCTAAATCCCACAGCGTCTCAGTCTACAACTGAATTTCATCATCAAACTACTAACACAACTAGATGGTGAGTAAACCTACTTAAGCTTTCTGATTGGAGGATTAAAGCGGAAGTTTCAGCTCCAACCGGGATCTGTATATAGTGCTCCAACACCTCACAAGTGAGGTTTATGAACACGCCTGGATGACATACTTGGACTTCATGATACGATGATTCTATCACGATGGCCAGCAAGAGCACTGTAAATTTATCTCCACCGAACCAAACAGGAGGGAAAAATGCATCAGATTATTTCCTCTATATTCAAGTTCACGCATGAGACGGAAGTCTCATGTACTACCATCTCCTTGGATCAGAACTGTCATACTATGTGCCTACAAGACTGATGGACCCGATCCGACCCTCCATGAGCTTCTAATACTCATGATATTAGAGCGCTAACTGCTACAATTGATTTACACAAATGTTATTTGAAATTATGGAGGGGTTATTTCTGGAGATCCGATATGGTGGTTGCCAACCATTATCTGAGAGATATCACCGTCAAGGGCGTCTCAGGTATCCACCAATTCGGTTCCAGGGTCCTCGCACAACAGTTGACAGTTCCTCGAGGAGAAGATAAGTCAATCTTACAGATTTCTACTTATCTTATAACAGTACTAAATAGCTACATGCTATATATAATTTGCTTAAGTTCTTTTTATCATCACAGTACTATGATTATTACATCATACAATATATAAGTTAACAACTCTACAGAGTTTGTTATTATATATTTACCTTAAGTTAATCATATCTTAAGCGTGAGTACTATGGTTGCATTATAAATGCATTAGCTAATAAACTCTACAGAGTTTTGGCTATTATATCATTAGCTTAAGTTAATTATATCTTAAGCATAGTACTATACACATATTATAAAATATATTAGCTTACAAACTCTACGGAGTTTTGCTATTATATAGGTAGCTTAAGCTTATTCATATCTTAAGCTCAGTACTATGTTTATATCATCTAAGTATATTAGCTAACAAACTCTAAAGAGTTTTTGCTAATTGGCTTAAGTTTCATCATATCTTAAGCATTATGGTTACATTATAACATGTATTAGCTAACAAACTCTCACGGAGTTTTTGCTATATATATATGTAACTTAAGCTTATTCATATCTTAAAGCGCCAGTACTATGTTTATATCATATAGGTATATTAGCTATCAAACTCTAAAAGAGTTTTGCTATTATATATTTGGCTTAAGTTTCATCATATTTTAAGCTTTATGGTTACATTATAACATGTATTAGCTAACAAACTCTCTGGAGTTTTTATTATTATATATCTTAACTTAAGCTTATTCATATAGGTATATTAGCTATCAAACTCTAAAAGAGTTTTGCTATTATATATTTGGCTTAAGTTTCATCATATTTTAAGCTTTATGGTTACATTATAACATGTATTAGCTAACAAACTCTCTTGAGTTTTTGCTATTATATATGTAACTTAAGGTTTCCTTCATATCTTAAGCTCAATACTATGTTTATATCATATAAGTATATTAGCTAACAAAACTCTAAAGGGTTTTTGCTATTATATATTTAGCTTAAGTTCATCATATCTTAAGCAGTATGGTTACATTATAAAATGTATTAGCTAACAAACTCTACGGAGTTTTGCTTTTATATATATAGCTTAAGTTTAATCATATCTTAAGCTCAGTACTATGTTTTTTAACATAAAAAGTATATTAGTTAAAAAACTCTAAGGAGTTTTTTTTTTGCTATATACATTTAGCTTAAGTCTAATCATATCTTAAGCTTAATACTATGGTTACAATATAAGTCTATTAGCTAATAAACTCTACAGAGGTTTTGGCTATTGTATATGTAGCTTAAGTTAATTATATCTTAAGCACAGTACTATACTCATATTGTAAAATATGTTAGCTAACAAACTCTACAGAGTTTGCTATTATATATGTAGCTAAAGCTTATTCATATCTTAAGCTCAGCACTATGTTTATATCATATAAGTATATTAGCTAACAAACTCTAAAGAGTTTTGCTATTATATAATTAGCTTAAGTTTAAGCATATCTTAAGCTTAGTACTATGTTTATATCTTAAAGTAATTTAGCTAACAAACTCTAAGGAGTTTATACTAGCAATTTAACAAGCTTAAGTCTATTAGTCTTAAGCATTGTATTAATGTTATATATACTTTATCATAATAAGTACATTGTAATAAGTACATTGTAATAACCTTTATATGGCAGCTGATAAGTTAGCAGCAGGAATTCATCAGTTCAGTGCCTTTATGAAGTTCCCATAGGGTTATTACAATCATCACAGTTCAAATCACTAATTATTAAAATCCAAAGTATTATATATTCCCACCTCCTTTTCCATTAGGATTCTACAAACAAAAAGAGCATGAGTCAGGATAAGGAAAAATATGTAATTTTTTAGAGTAAAATTGATATTTTATACTTATCCTGACTCATGAGGTAAGCTCCCTCCCATCCTCCCCACATAACACTTTGGATTTCCCTGTAAATTCAAATGTTGGGCTCAGTATATGAGGAGAGAGTGAGGCACATGGGTAGAGGTGAAGCCCTGGTTCAGCTTGTGGAAGGGAGGTAACTTCGTGATGTACTAATTAGTGATTTTACATTGAAGGGAGCTTCAATTAGGGAGATACAAGTGTTCCACTATGTTCATGAGAAGAAGAAGACAAGCAAAAGAGCAGTCAGGAGTCAGGACTGAAAATGGGCAGTATGAAATGTCTCCCTTATGAATATGGAAGTATTTTACTCTATGCTCAAAATTCTCACTTACATACATTATGTTTCATTCATTTGGTAACTTTGTTTGGCATGAACATATTTCAACTACTAGTTTCTGTGATATGCAGTGATTAATGAGTTGCTGTTTCTTATCTGTTTGCATAGAATATATATGTATGGAAAGTGTAGATCAACACTTGAGCCAAATTGCATGATACGAGGGCTTGCTTGCTTGCTTCAGAGATCCAGAGTTAACTGATCTTTTTCATTCTAGATAACATGCTTTAACCAGTATCACAATCTGTGCCAAATCTTTTCAGTCTACTAGCCTGGACATGGCTCTCGGTATTATTTTTAGTGTTAATATGTAAATTCCTATGAGCTAAAGATACTAGACCAAACAGAATTCTATGAGATTCATGCTTCGTATGTTTGGCTGTAGGCGCAGACTGGTCTGTTTTTGTATTCGTAGAATTCACTATTCAGCTATGTTCATCTTTGGTGTTTCAAGCAGTAATCTAATTTGAATACAATTAGGATGTAGGTTTCATCACCTTTTAGAACAGTGAAAGTGACACTATGTATTTGATATTTCTTTTGAAGCATGCTGCATCTTACAGTGTAAAATTGTACAGCACTGGCTTGGTGAAATTGTGCATGTTTTGTGTATTGGGATACAACCATATATCCTGTTACCTCCACCAATACATATGATACATACCCAGTAGGTAACATGCATGTTCCTGTGTGGTCATGAATCATGTGAGACTAGGCCTGTTCCAGCTGCGTAGATGGCATTACAGAGCTTAGAGGTTTACTTGTTTCTCATGCCTTGTATTGAGTCAGCTTGAGCTTTGTGTGAGCCTTGTGGTTGTTTGATGCCACCTTATCTAGATTTGTTATAGTTTTTATTTAGTTCAAGGCCATTATGTCAAGGGTAATCTTTGAGAACATAAGGTGTTTTTGCCTGTACCAATCCTATGTTTTTGGTAGTCAACACTTGGATTTTCAACACACAGTTTCAAGGTGCATAGTTCTGTGATTGTTTTTTCAACAATGAACCGACCGTACAGGTATCTTTAGAATGTCAGAATATACATAAATATATGTTTGCCAAGATAGTAATGCATCAAAATTATATTTTACTGTAAAGTTAGATTTTAAATATATCTTTATTCTATGCGTTCATCTTAAAAATTGGAAATGCTATATAGAGAGTTGCTGTGAATCAGAAGATGGCACATATGCTTTAATATATGTTTGGGTTTTCAATTCATAATAAATGTCCTTTAGTTTTTCATGCAGTATGATTTTGTTGGCATAATATGATTTTGAGTACTCTCATCACAAGGCTTCTAATTAACTTATTTCAAATCTCAGAAAATGGTATTTTTTTCTTACATCATCAATTGTCGATATATGTTACGTACCTAAGAGATGTGTGTTTCACTGCAACACTTACATAAAATTCAGATATGGATGCTTTAAATATTATGTTGTGACCTGTGCATTAATTGTCCTGAAGTTTGTGTGTCCTTGGTGTTGTCACCTACTTTACTCTGTACGTTTGTGGTTGCTTCTGTGCATGCAGCCTCAATCAAATATATCCTTAAATCTGTTGAAATTAGTGCTACAAAACCTCATTTTCCATAGCAATTATGTAGGATGTCTTGTGTACAACGTGACTGCTGTTTCAGTTAATGTGCATCACTTGATAAGGGCCACATGTAGTGTGAATTACCTTGCATTGCCAGCTCAATAATGTGGACAGTGTTCTCAAGGGGATATATGTTTAGCAAGCAAATGCTAAATGTGTAATTGGAAAAATTATTACTTAAATCATTTTGTGAAAAGAAAATGCAAAGACGTTGTTCTAAGTTTTCGATACAGATATTGTCTGGAAGTCAAGACTATTCTAAATAGAAGTAGTTAACAAACTGACAGTTGTCCTTCAGAGCTTGTTTCAAGGATGCATGTATGACTTAGTCTGGCCTGACGTATACAGTCCATAATATCCTTGCAGGTGATGAGTTCAACAAATGGTGACTTGGGACCTGATGACCCAACAGCAGGACACTCAAATACACCAATCACAGCACAGCCTGAGGTGGAAGTTGTGGATGAAACTAAGTATGTTCCTTCGCACTTCCTTGTCTGTCTCTCACCTTACACATCAGCCAAGCAGCCACCTTGTTCTGAGCTTGGCACATATTTACTGTATGTCTTTAATCTACACTTAAAATGTAAAACAAACAATAACACTGGTGTTGATATTACGCATTTAGTCTTTTCTGAAGTGTTCAACTGAATTTGATTTGTTTATCTTCATCAGCAACTAAAAGTGTGTTGCACATTTTTAACAGAAATTGCAAAATTATCAATAGAAAATTATTTGCTTATGTTTCTTATATGCACGTAGTAGAAATACATGGTTTGTTTTCAAGCAGTGTCGGATTGTAATTTGTAACAAAAACGTGATAATCTTGCGTTATGATCATGTTCTCTGAAGTCATTTGCATTAAAAGACCTCCATCCTTGTCCCTCCTTCACTCTTCCTTCACCCTGTCAACCCTATCAATGACTGTAATCTGAGGATAGAATGTAAGTCCATGCCATTGGCCTCTCGACAGCATGAACAGATCGCCGAGCCAAGCCAACACAACGGCATGTCTGTCACTTGGGTTGATTTTGAACTGAAACAGTTTATCCAAACCGGTTAAGTTGGTTAGACAAGTTAGGACAATGAAATTAGTTTTGTTTTTCGTTCTCTGTTGTTTCTCGGAATCTTCTTAGTTAGATATGTGTGCCACTAACCAAACTTTCAGAAGACAATGCACATCCACCACTGATCCCTTTACCCTGCCTCATGAGAGATTTTTATTTTTTATTTTGTTTTTATGAACAGTTGATGTTTTCTTATTTATATATTGATTTCTGACTTGAAAAGAAAACAGATTTGAAACACATTGGAAATGTAATAACTTTTAGAAATCATTCTCCTTAAATTTTATTATATCAGTTTTATGAGTATGAATAGTTGCTAACCCTTTCTAAGTGATAGTTGAAAATGATACTGAATGCATGCGGTGACCGTGAAAATGATGACCGCTTCATGCACAGTTGGCTTGGACTCTGGTGTTCTCTGCTTGCAGGTGCTGTTTCTTCAGACGACGCAAGAAAAAGAAAGGCCGACAGTCGTAACCCAGGATCTCGGGGGGAACTATGCTATGTCCTTTCGTACTCTATCTGTAGCCATACTGAGCCTGCCCAGCCCACCCAACCATTGCCCTCATGCCCCTCCATTTGCCTGCCCACCTGTCTGTCTGTGTCTACTTCAAGCTCCTTATCCTGTCTCACTGCGGTTTCTAGTAATCGTGTCACTTTCTTCATTGCCCTGTTATCATACACAAACATTGAGGCCATGGCTTGGTGAGAGAAGGAGTGGAACGACTGTTGATTGGTCAGTCAGTCAGTCTGTCAAGTCGGTCCCTAGCACAGGAAGTCATGTGTGCTTTCTGACACCACAGGTGCTGCAGCTGTTTTCATCGCAGGCGGAAACGGGGGAAACCCAAGCGCCAGAAATGACTGCTTGCCTTTGGCCGAACCAGGGATACTGTACCACTCAAGTCAAGAGAAGAAGATTCCTACGCAGAGTCTCGGGATACTAGCACCCCAGAGCTGCAGAAGCGTAGCCCTGTCTACCACACAGCACTGGGAAGGGGCTATGTCAATCAGACTTTCTTGTAGCACCTTTCCCAGGGGTTAGGAATCTTCTGGATTGCTGAGAGTGTTGCAGGGACTTCTGGGAGATATATACATGTGATACAACTTTGTGGCAAAGTAAAAGTGCTTGGAAAAGAATATGTATCTGTTTCGACTTCCATCTGCTTACTCTGTTTCTGAAATAGGCAAAATACTGGTGAATATTCTTTTGATTTGTGATGATTCAAAATGTTGTCAGTCAGGCTGGCATTATGGGAATAACCCTGATGATTGGTCTTGAACATCAAAGCTATTTTCAACTGTCAACTTTGTATTGAATTTTGATAATAGTTGTGTGGATGTAGTGACCAGATTTGGTGTTAATGTATGTGTTAAGTGACTGTGCGAAAGATACCTGTTTCAATTGTGTACTTACCTGTACTGCTCATTGTGAAGTGATTGTCATAGGAGCAACTTCCTATGCAGTATCAGTTTATCTTAGTCTGTTTTTTGTCATTGATTATCCCTATGCATTATTTATCTAGTCTTTTCGCCCATGAAATTTGGAAAGGTGAAGAATGGTAGTTGTGTATTTTGCCATTTTCAGAGATTCTGTAAGCTTTTTCTTTCGTTGTTAAATTTTGATGCATATGGTTTGTCCTTTCTAGTTAGCCCAGCTGCAGCAAGAGACATGAAAGTGTGTGCTACTGCAGTGGAAAGTTACTCCTTGTTTGACTTAGTGCCATAAATAAACCCTTTTTCTGAAAGGGCATAAACAAATTGTAATTATGATAGTATATGAGGGTTACAGGAAGACTTTTCTGCACAGTAGTCGCTTGCATGCGGACCTGCTTTTTTTAAGGGACGGGGATGTTCAACTTTTTTAGCAAAAAAAAACATTTTCAGGGCATTCTTGTGAACATGTCAGTGGTCTGAAATGTTGATTATCGAGGATGAACATCCTCTTTTATCTGTGTTACAATGACACATGGATACATACATGTGTGCTGGTAACTTACAGCAGTTGTGGAAACAGGAGGCACGGTAGGGTTTAGTTCTATATACAATCATGTTAAAAGTCCTCATCGTGAAGTAGCCATCCAACTGCTGCAGTAACATTCACATTCTTTTGATTTAAGTAAAGATACTTTAGTAAAGAATGATCATGCAGTGGTTCGTATGAAACTATCCCACCCTTTTATTATGGAAATCCAGCCTTCGGTGTGAAAATGAGTTGGAATTCTAGTAAACGTTTCGAATGGTATTTGACTGGTTAATCCAGTGTGTTCTACTCCAGTGAGATGAGATTTAATGTTGCATTGTTACTATCTTCACCATATAGCAACAGCAACAATTCATACCATATCTGTCAGTAGGGACAGAAGAACAATAAGATTAATATCAGGTTCCATGTAAATCAACTAAATTGGTCTGAGTATCACATCGAAACAGCTCTTTGTACTCCATGTCCAACACCTTAAATTGGAACCAACATAGAATCAATTTGCTTGACAATCTTGACAGTCCGTGAGATTAACACAAAACAGACAGTCCTCATGGCCAAAACCCCATCTTACCTCTCTTATGTAACTGTAGTGTCATGTCAGTCAGTAACCCTGAATGGACTTTTTTAATAAACTAATCTTTTAAACACAACACTTTTAGTTTATAATTAACAAGTTATTTTGGGTAACAGAAGCATTATATTCTCACCTCACCATAGTCACTTTTTGGTATAGTGTGGCAAGTTTCTAATCCCAACAATAATGTGATGAAAAAGGTGTCTGGAGTTCAAGAGGGTTTCTGTAATAGCTTGTGTCAATTCTATCTTATCACTTCAGAACAAACAGATATTTGTGATTCACACTGTATTTAAATCCAAATTGAAGCCTTGGTTGGTAAGAATACCATTTTATCAAGCTAATTGTCAACCTATGAGGTTTAACCATGATCAAAAGTATGTGATACTTTGTACATTAAAAATTGTGTTCTTTTACATGCGAGGAGGACATGTCAGTGCATGGTAAGACTGGCACATGTTTTCTAGTTTCCTTATTCAGTCCTGTTTCTGCTAAATGATGTAAATATTTTCAGTCCCGAAGCAACAAGATAAATATTTTGAAATTTGAACTTTCTAATCACATGCTCATTTGTTTGTTTTGTTGTGTTGTTTCCTTGTCCTCTTGATACAGTTTTAATTAACACATTTTGAGTACTATCAAGGAACAAGTTAGGTACACAAGTTAATGTTACGTTTTTCAGTGATACAAGCACTTTGGTGTGTATATTTGGCAGAGGAATAAGAGGGTTGGAATTGAAGAAATGTCTTCATGCAAGTTGGTAAATTTCCATATGAGATTATACATTTATATATAAAGAATTTGTTAATTTGTCCAATAACATCAAGTGTTCATAGATTAAAGTTCCAACCCTTTAAGCATTCAGGTACATCGACCTTTTATCTTAGCTCAGAAAATGTAGTGAATTATTTCATTTTTCCTTTTGGAAGAAGCAGTAATCATGACCAAGGCTTTATCAAAGCAGTCTTGTTAGTAGCTGTGTTGTGTGAGTTACTTGCGCATGAATTTTGACAGTTCTTGTGCTCAGTTGGTAATGACAGAGCCCTACACCTGACCAAATTAGGCCAATGTATGAGGGTAAATGTACTTGAATGCTGCCAGATCGTTGAAGGGCCACCTACCTATCTCCCTGTGATTGTGATATGATGGTGACAGACTGGTCCAGACACCACACAGTAACCTGGTTTGACCAAAGGCAGACCCAATGTATGTATAGCTTGCCACAGCCTGTATTATGTGGAGGGCTTGATCAGTGTGTACATAGTTCATTTGTTATGCTTGTATATATTCCACACATAAACATAACAGTATCAGTCATTATGCACCATATGTTCAGTCTTGTGCAGCTTTCGGTGTCACGTCAGCCACTCTGCATGATCAGGTTCAGATTGGGCAGCCCTGAAGTTGATGGTTGTGGCACTTAGCTGTTAGCTAACATTCAGAAGCAGGACGGATGAGCACCTAGTAGACTGATCTCAAATTCTATAACCTGCCTGCAAATAGGTCTTGTTCTCCTAGGGAGAGGAAGTTGCAGAGCTCCCAGGGTTTCCATTTGTACATAAAACATGGATGCCACAATGGGAATTTTAGATGACAAACAAATCTTAATTGTTGTATCTAGTAAAGTGACTGTACCAAAATACTCCCAACTTCATTTCTTGAAAATAGGTATCCAAAAATTGCTTTTTAAATCTACCTCTCTCTCTCTCTCTCTCTCTCTCATGACAGATATTTTATCCTTCAGACAAAAAGAACATTTTGTGATAAAATTATTCACAGAAGTAGCTCTTGAAAGGACACTATGTCGATATTTTAAGGCTTTTTGAGTTGGTCAGTCATGTCATACCAGAATGAATGGAACAGTTGGTTTTTAATGGAACTTAATGTAGTGCACATTCGTCTGCTACATACAGTGTGCACTAACTGAAGAGGAAGCCCAAGTACATGTGCCATGTCGCAGTGTTGTACCTCATCCAGACTGCCCTATACACTTCAAATCAAATTCTTGAATCTTATCGCTACTGTCATTGGAATGAGATGTGCTTACAGAGATGTGTGCGCCTGATTTCTCTTGAAAGCTTTCGTCGCCATTATTCTTTCTTTTTGTTTGTTGCTAGATGTTGTCTCTTACTGAGTTTGAAAATAGCAGGCTTGTATGGCCTGGTACATATTTTTGTTGAGCTGGGTGCTACATGCATCAGCTTTGTTTACTTTGTACAATTTTATCATTGCCTTCTTTCACTGGCTCAGTTCACATGTTCATTTGAAGTATTTCTATGGGGTGACCACACTCCTCTCTTGCCCTGGTTAGGCACTTGAGTTTTAATGTGTATGTATCATTTCTCAATGCCCGGGTTTGGGAGAATTCAACATTTTTTTAACCTAGAATCATGTACATAACGTTACTGATAACTGTAAGCTATTTTATTGTGATAAATCTTGCTGTTTATATGTTGCACTGAGTTGCCTCGTTTGCACTTCACCAATAGTTGCAAGGCATGTACATCTATATCCATAACAGAAATCACCTGGCTTAGCCTAACTTTCATCTAATTTTTGTCATGGTATACGCAAAGTTGGATGATAGATATGCGATAGCCAGATCATTGAGACATTTAGAACATCATTGTGAAGAAATGGTGTAATTTCATTCATTATCATCGACATTCGACATGCCCCATTTGTCTGCTTAAGGATTTCTATGAACTTACTTATTAACATTGCCAAAGTTCAGGTACATTTGTCTCTGTTTTTGTTTTTTTCACCATATCACATTTTCTTATGGTTATAACACTATCTAAAACTGTAGGTCATTATTCAGAATTTCTGCTTTGCAATATTTTGATGCAAGTGTATTGAGGTGATGACCAGAGTACCACTGTCATTTATTGGTACAAGTCTTAAGAATTGTCCGTTTTAGTTGTTTTGTGTACATTATAAAATGATAAAAATATTGAAAAGAAAAAATGTTAAAATGTATGACTGGAGACTAGATGATATGTATGACATGATATGATGCCTACAGAACGTGTATATTTTTCATGCAGCTCCACACAAGTCTGCATGAGTCCTCCTGTTTCAGTGTTGCGCTGTTTCCACTAATCCTCTGCTGCACAGGTAGCTGCCACCCATCTATGCTACCGTCAGACCTGTACAAATTGCACTACCAACTAGCTGGTGTGGAGAGAGCGAAGCGCCATTTGGTATTATTACTTATTACATGTATGAAGTGGGCAAGATGATATTTTGTAATGTTTAAACATGATGCATGTACAGATTGACCAACTTGTTTGTGCTGACTACATTGTAGAACCAGGATTTGTTCAGCTCTTCAGCTGCCACCAGACTCATGGAAATAAATGACTGAGCAGCTGACCTCCAACTCTTGTCCGTGTCTTGTGTTAAAGCCGGCCACCTTCACTGTCTGGTTGTTAGAGCATGGTGGACTTTCACTATGAAACCAGACTACCAGTACAAACATACACAGTATAAGTGGAAAACTCTTAAGCACAATGTTAAATCTCTTCTCACCTCTCCTCATTTAAAGTGGGACTGTGTAAAACTGTGATGTGAACACAAAGATGATACATATATCAAACACCTGACTTTAGGAAAAGGTAGTGAACCATAGACATCAGCTCCCCTGATAGTGAAAACCTGGAACTCGACCTCATATTTTTTTGCCACTGGTTTCAAAATCTGCCTCCAATAAAAACTAAACATAATCAGGCATCATGGAAAGATTGATTGTGTAGCATTACAGTAGCCATATGTAAGTTTTGTTTGCAGTAGTTTGTGGTTTAAATTCTGCTACCAAATAGTAGTGCCAAACAGATGTTGATCTGTAAAATCTTATTCCATACATCCTCCATCAGATCAGACAAACGCTCTGAATTTTAACAACCCTTTCTAAAAGAATATATTAGTTTTTGAGTCAATCAGATGTCTGTTTTAAATGATTCAGCTTCATAGTGACATTGTTTTAATAGCCAGTTTACTAGGTGAGATGGAATAAACATATGGATTTCCTCAATGAAACTGGCACGTCATGTCAATTTCAAGTATCGCACCGATTCCACAATGTAGGCCTGAACACTCATCAACATCAGGCCTGTTGGTGTAATATCTGTAAGCTGCAGTGTGTCCTGTCAGCTGAGCCTACCAGGCTCCTTGATTTTCCATGTACGAGTCTGTGAATGAATGAGGCATTCAATCAAGCCCATTAGTATCTGTAGATCTTTAAATGGTGTACTCGACAAAGGTATATTTGTCTTCAGTGGTGGTTTTCGTGTGTAAAATACAATTTCCGAACTGAGGTGGTGAAGAATGACATCAATAGCCAAAAGTCCTTCCTTTGTTTAGATTGGGTGGCCAAAGTATGCTCATGTGACCATGCACTTGGTGTCATAGGATCTTGATGCTGGGAGGTATGGCATGAGCATAAAATATATCTGGTATTATTGAAACTGACCAAAGCACTTGAACTGGTGACCTGGGTTAATCAGTGATTCAGTGTTGGAGCAACTTGGCACAATCTGAAGGAACATCTAAAGTGGCTCAAGCTGGTGATATATTGGCCCACATATAAGCATTGATCAGGTATATCAAACAAGCATAATTATTGTTTTCATTAAACTTCAGCAGAATACATGTAAACAGGCAGTGGCAGATTTCATTTCGTGTATTTAGAGAATCTCACCCAAGTGTCTACTGATATCAATTACATGAACACAAGTTGCTAAAGTTACAAATATCCAAGGCTTATATAATTGTCAGGGCATTGTACAAAATCTGCTGTCCAAACGATATCTCCTAGTATGATCTCACACAAGCAATATCTCCTGTGGAACACATTTAGATGATAAATAAGGTTGAGTCGAACTTATTTTTAACTGAACATATTAGTCCATGGGCTGATATAGGTGACCCTCCTCCTTTCCCCCCAGGGAATTTTGAAGACTATATTTTTTTTAAAGCTTATCATATGTACGTTCAAATTCCAGGTGTTTGCAGGCTGGGTGCGGGGGGTTTTCCCGCCGTGACCCCCCAAAGGGGGTCAGGGTGGGAAAAATTTGCGAAAAATAGTTTTTGCTTTTTTCACAGAATACATTCTAATAACTGTTTTCTATCAGGAACTATAAAAATATTTCAGGTTTATTGATTACTTACAGGTACAGGGAAGACATTTACTTTGAAAATGCATTGCGTCTAAGGGAAAAATAAAACTTTTGAATTGAAAAAATAATACGTTCTTAACCAACTGCCAACTAGACAATGTAGAAAAACAGCTTTCAAGTTTGATTTCATCCTTAAACACAATGCATTTTTCAATTTTAAAGTCTTCCTGTGCCTCTAACTCAATAATAAATGTTAGATATTTTCATTGTTTCTGATAAAGGGCAGTTATTAGAATGTTTTTTGTGAAAAAAAGAAAAAACTCATTTTTCCAAATTTTCATCCCCTGCCCCCCTCTTGGAGGGTCACGGCATGAAAAATCCTTCGCACCCAGACTACAATAAACCATCTCAAAGTCTTTTCATGCTTTAAGTATAGCTGTAACATTAATTTTCATCATTTTAGAGCTATTGAAACAAGAATACCAATTGCCAACTAGAAAGTGTAGAAAAACAGGTATAAAGTTGTTTTTTTCCCTTACCGCCGTGATGTTGCTGGAATATTGCTAAAAGCGGCGTAAAACCTAACTCAGTCAGTCAGTATTTTTCCCTTAGACGCAATGCATTTTCAAAGTAAATGTCTTCCCTGTACCTGTAAGTAATCAATAAACCTGAAATATTTTTATAGTTCCTGATAGAAAACAGTTATTACACTACAAAAACTCCTTTCGCAAATTTCCTTTCTTCAACACACACACACACACACACACACACACACACCCAAACTTCTTTGTTTTCCATCGCTGACAGGGCTAAGACTAGTGCACGTTGAGAGAAAATGCAGCGGTGGAGAGGGGGGTAACCGTGATATATATTTGGGTGGGGAAATGACTGGATCCCACCCGTGTATCATAGATGATAATAGTTTGACCGATACAAGGCAGTATTTCTTGTTAATTGACTATACTACGTATATTAAGTAGCCATAATGTTTTTGCGATGGAAATATAGCGACACTACGGTAATTTTCAAACGGTGAGTCGTCAAACTGTTCCCTACGTGAAAGCCTCCGGCAATGCACTCAACGATATTCAGCAAAAGCTGAAAACATCTTGTCTTTTAAAAACTCTTTTCGGTAATGATATTGGGTATCTTTTTACTAAAAAAAATCGGTTTAACTAAATTATTCGTACCCAGCTAAAAATGTTATAGCCCGTCCCATCCGTACCTGGTTTGGAGCATTTGGGCTGACTCATTGGAATGACCCGTACACACATTTACTATAAATCCACACTTAACTCGCTTTGATTAGCGGGATAACTGGTTATTATCCACACTAATCAGCACAATCAGCGTCCCAAACAAGCAGTTGACACACAGCGAACACAAATCGCTTTCAATATCGACTCCGTTATCCATGACCATAGATGGCATATTGTTTTAGTACCAGTACTTCTCGGTACTGCGTAAGTCTTGAAAGTCAGCCGGTATAACATGACGTCTATGCAGTCGATGACTACCAATGTCTAGTACAAAGTAGTAAATGTGACATACATGTTTTACTGTTCGACGTGAAATTAGACCCTACTCATTCACCCAATAATTTAAACACAAAACAATGCCTCAATTGAAAAGCTGTTTCCTGTTGATCTGATAATTTTCAAAAGTGTTTGGAAGTACGAAACGGGTTTTCCGGAAATTAAGCTATTGTTTAAAAAGAAACGTCTCCGTCACCACAGCTGTCTCAAATAATTTCCGTGTGATTGCTATAGATAATGGTGTCCTCCCATTACGCAGACAGTCAGTTCGCAGACACCTTAAAACAACAACATTTACGGTTCAGTGAACAGATTATCTACTACCTGTTACCTACACATTATAATGGAATAGTCCAAATAAAAACACAGGAACAAACTGAAGCTATATTATTTATTTTGAAAGATGGACGAAAACACAGTAATTTGAATTTTCATTGCTGCAATATAAAAACAGTTTGTTTTCATAAACATTTCTGTTTAACCTTCTAGTCGGCATCATCATATTGAAAACATTAGCTGAGCTATTAGGAATTGCGACACTGTTGTATCATATAAATCAAATAAAGTCAAATGTGAACCTAAATATTATTCATATGGAATAAAGAAGTTATATGTTTTGCACACAATATTAAGATATATGACGAGTGCACTTAATTACGATTTATTTAGAATAAATATTCAAAATATGACGCATCATGACAATGTGGCCATTACTTCCTTGAATGACCATTGTATACTACTCAAAGACATAAACTGTTACAATCTTTAGAACGTATCGTTAAAATTAGAACACTGATTGGTATTATTCGTATCTTACATGGCAATGCAGGTGTCTCATTTACTGCAAATCAGAATGTTTTCAAAAATGTTCATATCTATACCTCTCCAACAAAACGTAACTTCTGTTTGTACATATGCTATTATTGGGAGGGGGCTTTTCTATCAATAAACACAATCAAACATCTCAGTGACAAACCTGTTTTTAAATTCGATAGTAATTGATAGTAAACTAAAATTTGAGAAGAGAAATCATTTATCATTTAATCACAACAAAGTTCTATTTACTCACAATCAAACTTCTCAGTAGCGAACCTGTTTTAGGCTCACCCTGCTCTACTCACTAAACAGTGGACTGTTCCATTATACCCGTAGGTGTTACCCTAATTAACCTTCTAGTTTAGTGTCTGTCAACTGGCTGGCTGTCAAATGGGTGTCTGTCAATTGGGAGATAATTCTAGATAATATACTGTTCAAAAAAGTTCTTTGACACCAGTGTTGAAAGGAACATAACAACAACAAATTGCATGCATATATTGATTTATTACAGTACATGCTTACAAATGAATCACAAGATTGATGTTTTTCAAAATGTCCACGGTTCACAAGTGTAAGAAGGAAGAGGGGGTCAGTACCGTGTGTGACCAACGCGAGCCTTGAATCACTGCCTCACAACGACGAGGCATTTAAGCAATAATATTAAGACGTTGGTGAGTATCCTGTGGGATGTTCTGCATTCTACCTGAAGGACTGAGTTGTTGAAGGTTCTCAGGCGCAACATGTCGCTCACGAACACGTCGGTCAAGGACATCCCATAAATGCTCAATAGGTGACAAATGCGGGGAACGAGCAGGCCAAGGCAGAACAGCCACGTTGTTTTGACGAAAAGGTCCTGACAAACAATGGCTATGTGTGGTCTGGGGTTGTCTTGCTGTGTCGCTCCTGCTTCCAGG